ACAAAGCCACATCTGTACCAGTGGGAAGTTGAGAAGGCCCAGCTGTATAGTCAAAAGCGGGCATGGCTTCTGCTGGACTGATAGAATTATTCTGTCTGATGATTTTGCCTCATTAAGGATACAGTTCCAGTTAAAATAGTGATAATAACTAATAAATTCTCCATTATGCCATGATCCATGTGCTGTATCCTTTCAGTAAACATTTACTAAGCATCTGGGGTGCTCTCTACTCCACTGGATACTGGCAGATTACAGCCAGATAAGACATGGACTCTGCCCTCAAGTTGTCCAGAGTCTCATAGAGAATGAGGAATCCCTAGAAAGCATCGTGCAGCCCTTCCTATGGAGTGCCAGAAGCTTTCCTAACCCTGGAAATCTTGATAATGAAGGCGAATCTTGTACGGATTTATCTGTGTCTTGTTTGTGGCTTATTTATGAAGCATCCGAAAAGACTCCTGCTTTTCTGTTGGTGAGAATGCAAGATAAGATCAAGTGCAGCTAAACTGAGTTCATGGACACTGGATCTCTGCTTTCTGCAAGGCACTGTGCCAGGCACATAAGAGTACAACAGTAAAGCATAGAACAGATTTCCTTTTTAATATGTCAAAGTAGAATTATTTCATAGCTTTCAAACTTTGTAATGACAGTTATTTTTAATAAATACTCTTAAACGTGTGGGGAAGGGTCTTGAAATAGAAGACAAATATCTTCATATTCAAATCCAGACTTGTCAGCCTAGGATTCAAGGTCTCCATTCAGACCCTCTTTCGTAGTCCATATCTCTTTTGAGCTTTCTTTTTCCTTTTCCTCAGCCGAGCCAGCCTGCCTGCCAGTCCTTGCACACAACTAACTCTTGCTTCTGTGCCTCTGCTTGACTAATTCTTCTGCTTCTGGGATGCTTTATTCCCATAAATCCATGTCCATTACCGCCATTACAGTCTGGCCCGAGTCTACCTCCTGCAAGGAGCCTGTAGTCAGTGTCCCGTCTCCTCCTGTGTCCTTCACACGTGTGCACAGCCGTATTTGCTGGTGAAGGAGCATCGTTGTGTTCATCAAGCTTCCCATTCTTTGTCCACATCTTGATGATCTAGATCCGACAGACCATAAGCAAAGTAGTCCGATGTAACTAGGTCATACACCAGGCCTTTTAGGAGCGAATCGCTATATCAGAGTTTGCTTTTTGGTATTTTGGCTTTGGTATTTTTGTGGGCTGCTACTTTTAGGATAGAGAGAAAAATTAGAAAAGATCAGGATGATAATATGAAAAGCAAACCAGGGGGTCCATGGAAAGAGTCACATATCTGTAAATGGTCCTCTTCTGCTCCCAAAAAGGACGTGAAATCTCCTTTCAACAAGTTCCAGGTGCAGAAAGGGTAAACAGACGAGCTGTCGAGCTTAGGAGAAGCAGAGTTTTGCCTGTTAAACATCTCAAGCTTGTTGATCTGCTGTTCTGTAATTCTTCCAATATTGTTTAATGTGTGTGCGTTTTATCTTCTGAATGAAAAGCTTCTTGAGGACAGGGACCATGTCTTTATTTGCTTCTACATGTTCTTCCCCTCACTTGTTTCTGACTAGCATGGGAAACCCCTCGTGCACACCTAGGAACAGGAGTGACACTAGTGAGTGCCAGCTACATCCCAGCCATTACACTGCAGACACTACTTATAATGGCCTTTGTCCCCATAATGACTTAGCAAGTTAAGGTTTCCAGATCCTAATTCTGCACATAAAGAAATTGAAGTTAAGGGAGTTCAGGGTCTTAGAGTTAGTGAGTGGTGGATCCAGATCTGCCTGACTCCAAAGCCTCAATACACTTTTTACTCTGCCACCTAATGACGAATATTCGAGCCCTTTACAGTTCACAGAACTCTTTGATCCGCACACTTACTGCTGTTGTTGCCACCACTCTGATCACCACCTAGTTGCATCGCTAGGAAGGAGGTAGCGCTAGTACTGTCGCAGCCCTGCTTCACTGCTGGGGAGACACAGGCTCAGAGGCCTGCCGAGATCACACGGCGTGAGACGGCGCTGAGTGGAAGGGTCAGGACTTCAGATGGGCTTCCTGGCTGCAGATCTCTCTGTTCTGTCCTCCACGTCACATTGCTGCCGTAGCCCCATTGCACAAACGCATGGCTGTGTAGCCAGTTTTCACTGGCGCCTCTCCTACAGATGCCAGCAGGCCCCAGCATGACATGGAACTGTGTAAAAAAGAATGACTCATGCCTTCTGAGGGACTTCCATTTTAATGGAGGGGTGATACGAAGTCACCCAAAAAAATGCTTTAGAAGAATAGTTCACAAGTGATAATTAAAATATAGGGGCCATTGTTCTGTAAAAGAATCCTCATCGCTTCTCGGCCTTTTGGCTAAGATCAAGTGTAAAAGAATCCTCACAATTTGGCCATAACACTATGTAACGTTCGTAATGATCTGCATCATAAATTGGCTTACGGAGTGGGGATGTAGCTGACAGACTTGCTTTGAAGACACTTCTCCAGGGCTTAGATGAGCAAGTACTAGGTACTTCACGTGAGTTGGTAGCTGGCCCAGTATCCTGTCACCAAAGAGGTGTGGTAGTGCTCGCCCCGGGGCACGGTGTGTCCACCCAGCAGTTCTCCACTTTCTCTGGTAGAATCCCACTAGTGTCATCTGCCAATGTTGCTTCTGCCTCTCCCTACGTACCTCCCTGCCCTCAGCCCACTAAACCCTTTAGGACTTCGAACTTTCTTGTCCTTTCGTGTTTCATTCCTCTTCTGCTTTTGCATTGGTACTAGGATAGAGTATCCAGTATCACAGTCCTTCAGCACAGTTAGAATAAGGAAATGTTGATTAAATTATAGCTCTGTAGTATGAATCAGTGCTAGAGGAAAGTTTTAATGCAAACACGGTGTTTCTAACTCTCCCCTGAACATTTCTACCTGGTTGTCATAAAGGCCCCTCAAGCCCCTTGTGTCCTGTGAGATACCAGTGTCTCCCCACCAAATCTGCTCCGTCTCTGTGTTCCGACTCCAGAAGTGTCACGTCCACTTGAGCTGGAGCCACAGGGACCCCCCTCCAGTGGGCATTCGGATCTCCCCCTGAGACGGTGCCTTTTCTTCCCACAAACTCGGCTGTAGTCAGCCCTCTGTCCTCTCCTACACATTGTTACGATGGCCTCTTAATGACATCTCTGTCACCTGTTCCAGTGTGTCTACCATGCTGCTGCCAGAGGAGACAAACTCGATCAGACACTCTTTACAGGAGAAAGTCCAAGCTCCTCCTTGGGGCACTTACGATCCTAAGTTACCCTCCTGCCATCCCTTCACTGAAGCACTCCACTCCCCAGACACTGGGTCCTTTCCACCTTCGGGAGAGCACCGAGGCAGAAGAGCTGACTGACACAGTCCGAAAGACCTGCAAACCCACACAAGGCTGTGGGCCTGCGCGGAGGTCTTGGTACAGCCCCTTCGCTGTCCCTTGCTTGGTGCGGGACACCTCCCGCAGCAGTTTGGTTGACGCTTCGTCCCAGGAGCTGCCACAGTTCTCTGTTTGTAGTTCTCTTCAGCACTCACCTCTAAGCAGTGCTCCGTATATTTGCCTGTCCCGCTCATCCAGGGCAGCAGCCACACCTAGCGTTCTTGCTTCCCAGTCACTGACACGGCCCCGTCACGCAGTTACCGAGCAGGGGCAGTCAGGGCGGTTCACTTAGACGTGGTGTGCGCCACTAGAAAAGTGCCCTTGGGTAAGTCACTCAGTCTCCTTCATTCAAAAGGGGGTTGGACTAAATGATCTCTGAGGCCCTTCCTAGCTGGAAGCACGCTCTGATTCTGAGCCCGTGTCGTGGATCAGGACACCTTCCTGCCTCCTCACGTTCGGGAGCCCCGGCTTAGCCAACTGCCACGCCATTTCCCGCGTAGGCTTTCCGACTTGGCAGCAGTCCTCCGGGCTCACCAGAGCTGCCTGGCGAGGCTCCCCTTGGCGTCACCCGTGACCATCAAGCTGTCCTTCCCGGTGTCCTGTGCCTGCCACTCTGACACAGCTGTGTGGCTGCCCCTTTTTGTGCTGGCCTAAAGGCTAACAGCGAGAGGGGCAGAGGAAAGGCTCCGTTGCTCTTGACTCCACGTCACCAGCATCACAGCTGCTGCCATCATGTCTGCCACGGGTGATGCCCATTTCTGTGAGAAATGTTTCCAGCTATTTGCGGGCCCTTTCGGGTCTCTTAAGTACACGGCCGTCCTGTGTGGTGGGAGGAGGGCCAGAGTTACAACTCAACAAGTACATTGCCATAATCTCCATGGAATAAATAAGAGTCTGTGGAAAGATTAAATAAATCTTTCCTAATGCTTTATGACTGCCTTAATAATTAATCATCTTTAGATGGGCTGTAAACTTGTGGCATAGATATAATTGGATTAGTGGCAAAGAGGCAGTTGGGGAGCTTTGAAGAGATTAAAATGGTTGTCAGTCCCGTAATTAAACTGCCACAAATGAGCACAGTGGTGTTTTAAACCCGAAGAAGGAAGAGAGAAAGAATGAGAGCGAAAAGGAAAGAAAGTTGGGGAAGGCCCACTAATGGGAAGGCATCAGCAGGCCGCTTGGGTCTCAGGAGACTGGTGGCAAAGCAGACCGACAGGAAGGCCGCGTGGCATGGCAGCCATTAGGCGGATGCCTGGACAGGTGAAATCTGGCAGCTTCAGCTTCACTAGAAAAGAATGGTTCCCCAGAAGACAAAAACGTCACTGACGGAGACCTGCTCCTTGTCCTGAGCCCATTGAGAACTTGACTTTCATACTTTTAATTGGCTTAGGAGGTTTGGCCTGTGTGAATGCAGTCTTTTATCTCTTTTTCTTTCCATGCCCCTTTCATCTTTCTATTATAAACACACAGGGAGAGCTTGAGAGAGAATACTTTGGTTTTTAAAGACTTTTCTTTTAAAAAGAATGAGGATTTGGGTGGGGGGAGGGGTGTGTGTGTGATGCTGGTGAATACCTTTTTTTCTCTCTCTTTTATCTCTTTTTTCAGAGAGGAGTTGCTTAAACCAATGGGACTAAAACCTGATGGGACAATAACGCCTTTGGAGGAAGCACTCAACCAGTACTCTGTCATCGAAGAGACCAGCTCTGACACAGACTAAAAGCATCACCTGCTCAACTCTCAATATTGCTTTTATCAGCGTCTTTTCTCTGTAGCTCCAGGGGAATCTTTTCTCTAAAACATTTATGCCCTTGCTTTGGCTAGAAACACATTAACTGGTTTCCTCCTTGAGAATCCAGCATATGTAAGAGGCGATCCTGTGTGTTACGATACTGAGGCATTCGTCCCGAGCTGCGGTCAGACGACTAAGGGACCAGAGGCAGAGCAGCGTGGCCCATCCTGTCAGGGTGGGTGAAGGACTTCACTCTGCGCGGCAGCCTGGCTGAGTCTGCAGATCTCTTTGCCGAGGTTCTAACAGCGGATCTGGCCTGTCCTTCCTCAGGCTCGCCCGGGGCAGCCCCTTCCAAATGCCTCAGCCGCCAGAGGCGCGTGCGAGTTGGATGAGCTGGTCAGGGAGGGCTGAGCAAGGGGCTCTTTAGATCGGACCGACTGAATGGAAGCCGGGCAGCTGCTCCGTCAATCTAGCCCCATTCTTCATTTCAGTTTTATAAAAATTCAAAAACACACACACACACACATGCACTCGGAGCCCCACACTTAACAGACTGATCTCACCCTAAATGTCTGTACGTCACTTACCAGAAACTGCAGATATACCCTCCCTATAAAGAGTTACGGATGATGGTTTGCAAATGCCTATCTCTGACGTACGAGCACTGTACCGCAGAATTGACCTCCATCTGTACCATGGCATGGGGAGCACACACTCTGAGGCAGAGCCTCAGGTGCCGGGAACCGCACCACCTCCGTCTGGAGAGGGAATGGGGACCCCCTGAGTAATGGGGCGGGGGTCAGCAGCACCCATTTGTACATAAAGGTCATTCATCTGTCATGTGTTTCAAACTGGGGTCAGCGTGTGTGTGTGTGTGTGTGTGTGTGTGTGCGCGCACTCACATGTGCGCTACCTTTCTACCAGATGTGATCAGTTAAATGGTAACTTTATTTATTTAAAAAAAGAAACAGTTACCATTAAACTGATTGAGGCTGTTCATTTTTACCGTTAGAATTGGTCATTTGAAGTAGAAACGCACTTATACAACAGACAGTGGGCCTAGTAGATGGATAGCTAAAGTTGAAAAGGGTTGGTTTCCTTTTGTATGTACGTATGTGTGTGGGGACACAGACACACATACGTACACACACACAGATAATGTGCTTAACCACTGCCTTTAAAACTTTAAATAAAACATTGGGGTTCATTCAATGTAGACATCTGTGTGTTTCTTTGTAGGGCTGAGCAGTAAGTAGTCTGCAGTCCGTGCTTTTCAGAAGTCCGTTTCGTCTGTCCTCCCATTTGTCCTCATGATAGTCTTTAAAGACAGGTAAGGTATAGGAGGGATTAGTGACAGAGCCAGGCACCCTGAAGTTTCTCCTCTGGCAAATCGTAGGTCCGGAATCGGGTCTCCTGATGCCTTTGAGCAGCCGAAGAGACCTCCACTCACAGATCTTCAAGAATACCTTTGGCCTCTGCTAAAATGTGCATACATTTCTAGATCCTGAGGTATCTGGCTTTCTAGCCAAAAAAAGGTTGTTGAAAACTAGATGTTAAACTGTTCAAGGCCTAGCAAATCAGGGCTGTCTGCTTACTAAGGAATGCTGTAGTTGGCCCAGAAAATACATCTTTAATTATTTGACCTATAACCTAAGGAAGTCTCATAAGGATGGCCCTTATCATGATGAGTTTCTTGTTTAAAGGAATAAGTGAAACCCTTACTTAATAAGAATACTTTATAAAAGGCTGGAAAGAATATACATTTTAGAATTTTCATGCAAAATAGTTGGAGACATTGTGGGGTAACCCATGTTTTAACCAACAGCAAGTAAAATGGAACTTGGCAATTAATCATTTTAAATAAATGAAAAAATAGGAAAAAAGAATGTAGGTATTTTTATTTCATTCTCCAAATGCATTTTTAAAGTATTTTTATAATTTCTACAGTCATAGCTTTGGTATGCCTGTCAGCCTACGTAAAGAAATGCATCTAGACTGTGCTGCTGGCTCTGTGTGAGAAGTTCTCCGCTCTGCTTGCATTGAGTTCTGTTTCATTTTACCTTTTTTAAAGAGGAAAAACTGGCGGGGAGAGACTATGAGGGTGGCCTCACTTGGCACATGGAAAGAGAATGTACGCTCGGTGCGGGCCCCTCCATGTTCTATCCTGGAGCCTCCAGGGACCGCTGTGAGTTCCCCAGTCTCATGGCCAGCAGCTCCCAGTTCTGGGGGCCTGACACACACACCCCACCCCCGCCCCCATGCCACACACCTGGACCACATGTGCCTCCCTAGGCCTTGAAGTGCAGGGACCAGCGTGGGCTTGGAGGGCGGTCATTCTCGGCCATCTTAAGCAATAACCATTCCAGCACAAAGAGGCAAAAGAGACCTAATCAGGGAGGCAGCCTGGAGGGTGAGGAACTCACTCGGCTAGCACGGGCTTTCAGTGAAGACCTGGACCTCTGCGGGGCAGGCGAGGGGCACGGGCTCCCCCGGCCAGCACACTTGCAGGCCTCTCTGCCATGGCCCGACTCACCTTGGAAGTGAAGGCTGAAAGAACATGTCCTGCAGTAAGGCTTTTGGGTAATAGGTGATGAGGAACAGCCCGGACGGTGGCACTGACCGGCCCTCCGTGGAGACAGCTGAAGCCGCACAAGTGACTTCAGACCACTAGGACAGCAGCAGTCTTCCCGCCGCCCCAGACTGGGAGTCACTGCATGACTTCTGTTTATAAAAGTGTGTTCACTGTGGAAAGCTTGGAAAATACAGAAAGCAAAATTTGCCCCAAATCCCACCACTCTGAGGTTATCACTGTTAGTATTTAGTGTACTCCCTTCTTGTATTTTTCTATGCATATATAATTTATTTTACTACAAGATTGAGATCATGCTGTATTTACAGATTTGTATCCTGCTTTCTTTAACAATTGTGAGCATTTTCCCATATCAATAAATACTCTTCGAATATTAATGGCTGCATGATATTCCATTGTGTGAATGTAGTAAGCACCAATTGCCTACCCAGTCTTCTTCCTAACAGAAAACACCGCAGAGCCATGGGACCAGGAGCTGCCTTCCGCAGAGCCCGTCTTACACGCATCATGACACGGCTGGATGCGTCCAGGAAGAGCATGAAGGGAGCCCAGAGCCAGACAACTTAGGAATGGTTGCTTGCTGAGCGGTGTCTTAAACGATAGCAGCAGTGCTTGGTGTAGAGTCGTCACTGACATTGATTTTCCTGCTTCCCCAGAAGTGGAAGGAGTGCTCAAGGGTGGGGAGCATCTTAGGAGGAAATGAACACCTGTTGGACCTTTTGGTGTGTGGTGTGGAGAGGGGATGGAGGACTAGTATTCTAGGGAAAAGCAGGAGCCGGGGAAGGAAAGACTGGTGACAGTGGAGAACAGAGCTCCAGACAGGATGCCTGTGCTGAGCCTGCCCCTGCCCTCCAGGAGTGGCAGAGCAGCCCTCCTTATGGGGTTGGGCACAGCAAAATACTCTTACCCTGCAGCAGAGAGTGACCACCTTTGGGGTCCAGCATGGGGTCCATTGCAGGGCACCCATCTGAGCCTGAGGAAACGAGCTCTGGCCATTTTCTGAATTCTGTGGCAGAGAAAACCTGCCCCATAGAAAAGATCAAGATTGTTCTCCAAGGCTTTTGGAGTCAAATTGCGTTGTAATGCAGGATACTGAAGGCCCCAAGCCGGTGGTGGTAAGCCTATGGCAGGCTGTTTGTATCTTTGAAAGCTCTAAAAGGTTCGCCATCACTGTCCTGAGCCATAGAAACCCTCCAGCTGTACACCAGTGTCATAGGCCTTCACCTTCAGTGCATCGAACATAACAGTGGCAAGTGGACATATTTATCTAGCAATAAAACATGCGCATTCTAGGTCAGTCTTTATGAAGCTTAATTATAGGTCAGCCATATTATAAAAGCTTGCTCTCGAAGCTGAGAATGCTAAAACATGGCCTTTATTTGCTTATAATCTGCTACAAGTGGCAAAGTTTGAATTCAAGTCTGATTCTAGAATCTATGTAAATACCATGCTCTCTACCTGCCGCTTTTGTAGTCAGAAAAATGCAGTAAGTGTCAGATGAGACTGATAACGGGAAAAAGTACCAAGAAAACTGCCGCATTTCTTCATTTCCAGATCTCTGCTCTGCAGAGATCTCCAGAGCTAGTCTCAAAGAGGAGACGGTACTCACAAGCATCCCAGTGCGTGGTTTGTTCAGTGAGCATGTGTCAGGCATCGGCTGTGGTCAAGGTGCTTGGGAACACAAACCTACCTTCACAGACCCTATCCCCCCGGGGGCCACAGTGTGAGAAGTGCGTGACCAAAGCGCAAGCAGGCTGCAGGATGCCAGGAGGATTTTGAGAGTGAAAATGCGGCATTGGAGCATGGGCTTGTCGTATACAAGAGAAGCTGCTCTCAGCAGAGCTCGTTCAAACCTCAGCTCATGGGCGGAAGGTACCCAGGATGTTTACAGACGCAAAGGGTTGAGGATGATGGAGATCCACATCCTGTGTCTAGTGTGTACACACAAGTAGCAGCATTTCCAGCAAGGAAGGGACGTGAGGAATATGGTTGCAGAATAAAGAATGGAGAAAGCACAATTAAGCGGAGAAAGACAAAAGAGGCCAGACAGGTAGCTGCTGCCCCGACATCTGTGAGGGACCACAGCACTGGCAGCGTGGATGAGGGGATGGACACAAGAAGCACCATTTGGTCTTGAGGAAAGACCAGAAAGAGCTCATCTAAACTCGGGAATGAAGAGAACTTAGGGGAAAAGCGTCTAAAAGCCTGGCTCCCAACCTATGGACTAACTAGAGGAAGAGAGTAGAGCTTCAGGGACTCTCGAAATCTATATAGTGACTCAGCTTTCTGTTACTGTAGCAAAATACTTGAGATAATCTACTTACAAGCAAAAGTTTTATTTAGGTTTACGATTTTGGTGATTTCAGTCCATGGTCTATTGGCCCTGTTGCTCTTGAACCAGTGTAAAGGAGCATATGGTAGGGTATGTGTGGTAAGGGAAGCCCATTCACTTTGTGGCTGTCAGTAAAAGAAGAGGAAGGGCTGGGGTCCTAGGATCCCCTTCCAGCACATTTCCCGGTGACCAGAAGGCCTTCGTGGGCCCCACCTCCTGAAGTTTCTGTTACTTCCTAACACCAAGCTAGGGACTAAGCCCTGAATACATAGGCTTTGGGAACAGTCCAGAAACTAGCTGTCACCAAGCATTGCATGTATCTGAATGAACAGTGCGTTGGACATGCAAGTACCACGTATGGACATGCGTGCACAAAATGAAAGTTCACTGACAGCACTGTTGAATTTATAACAATGAATTTTTATCAATCTTTCTCAGTCAGAACATACAACAGTTATTGTGTGGAAAGGAGATCCTGGAAACCTCGGGCTTCAAAACAAATTCTTATCATTAAAAAGACAGACCTCTGTTAACAAGTATCAGAAACTCCAGTTGAACAGAGTAATAGGAGGTCATTGTGTAGGGAACAGGAGGTGAACAGCAACACTGAGGAAGAATGGAGATGTAGGAGGGTCTTGGTCACAACTGAACTGGGTCTTGTGACGTTACAGAGGTACAGGGGTTATGAAATCCATGTTTGGTGATGTCATCTCTAGTGGGAGTGTTTATACCACGGGAATCCACAAACACTGCAAATCAGTGCCTCTCCCCAGGAAGTCACGGAACAGCCACAGCAGCTGCTGTGATGGACCCTGCCAAACCGCAGAAATGGCTCAGGAATCAGATACCAGGTCCACCTGAGGAAAAACACACTTTCCCACCACCACTACCTTCCTCAGTACGAGCCAAGAATTTCCCTGAGAAGTTTATTCAGAGGGCCCTGGGCAGAAGGACTCTGGCACAGGAGAGGAGAGGAGAGGCAGAGAGGGTTCTTGCTGAAACAAGAGACTTGGGTGATGGATCACACATTCAGTCACAGGAACTTCAGTCTCCTCCCCCAGTCAGCTGCAGGAACACTGGCAACCCGGACTCTTCAGGCTGGGAACGCTGGCCCAAAAGGAGGGCTCTACGCAGACTATTAGGGGTCTTCCAGCAGCCAGATCACAGTCCTTTCACGCTCAGTGACACCACCATTTATTCATTTGTTTGTGCAGTAATAGCACTAAAGGCTAACACCAATCACCGCTGCTGGTGCGGAATACATCAGTGCACAAGATAAAGACCTGGCCTCGTGGTGCTTTTATTCTTCTGGAGAGACAATGAAGAAATGCCTCACGCCAGTAAATGGACACAGCAGGCTGTACGTGACCTGGCCAGGTGGTGACAAGGCCGGGTATGAGTTTCAGGAAGGGTCATCAGGGAAGGCCTCTCAGATAAAGTGAAGTTTAAGCACTGCCTGAAAGAAGCAGAGAAAGTCAAGTGGACATTCAGAGGTCTTCTCTCCAGGCAGCAGCTGTAGCAAGTGCAAAGGTCCTGCAGCAGTGACGAGAACTCCCGCAGCAGGGGAGGTGACAGGAGTCACAGCCAGAGGGACAGTGAGGCCAAGTCAGGTGGGCCTTGGAGGAGACAGCATTGCCCACATGGGGCCTCCGATTAGGTTCCCCATGTCTCACTCTCAAACATGAAGGAGCAGGCAAGGGTGATGGGAGATTTGAGGAACTCCTCTCCCATGAGAAAGACCCAAATAGAGTCAAAAGAACTTCTTTGGGCCATGATTAATTATAGTGACAGGCTTCAGCACTTAGCAGGAAAGAACAGATCCAGTAAGTAATCGAAGAAGTCAACGCAGACCTCAGCAGCACAGGTACACTGATGAGCAGTAAGCCTGGCCACAGGAAACCATGAGAGTATACTCGGCCTACTCAGAAATGAGGCCACATGGGCTGGGCCACAAACAGTGTGAAACTGGCCCGGGCCTGGCTTGGCATCAAAGAGCCAAGGCGCTGGAGTCTTCAGGTTGCTGCGTTCCCTATGCTTGCTTCCACTTTGTTTTCCCTTTTTTTTAAAAATAAAGTTTTCGTCAATTCTTGGCCATCTTAGCTGTTGTTACGAAAATGAGTTAGGGAAGGTTTTCCTGACTGGCCTAAAAGTTCCTGGAGTTCTTTCTACACTCACACAAAAGTGCTTGCTGTTGGGGCGGTGGCAGCTCCCACGTGGGCACTTGCTAGCATGTGGAAGGCCCGTGCTCAGCGCTCAGTGCCATGAAGATGCTGCTGTCCTTATCATCACCAACAGGAATAGCAGAGTGACAGCAGTGGAGACTCTGAAGAACTCGGAGAACAGCATCTCTCTCTTCCTGGAGAATCTTCTTCCAATGACGTCGTTTAGAGATCCTCATTTATACTTTATTTCAAAAGCCTGGCTTTCCTCTCCGTGATTTTGACACCAACAGCTTTCTGCAGCGCAAAAGCACGACATAGGAAGACTCTGGGAAGAAGATGTATGCAGCTACTACACTCGTCAGTCCCATGAATCACCCCTCAATAGGTAAGGGCCTTTGAGGTGATGGGAGAATTGAGACTCAGATGAGAAAGTAACTTGTCCAAAGGTACAAAGCTGGAATTGGCAGGCTCCATGCTACCTGTACGACCCCAGCTGATGTTCTGTCACTGTGTCATGCAAGCAGGAAAAGAGAAGTGAAGAGAAGCCACGTGTCCAGTCTGTATTCCTTACCGCAAGCTCTCAGATAAGAATATTTGCAGGTTCTTAATGACCACGCGTCCTGAGGGCTTGGCATGATTCATCACAGATCCTCACGGTGACTAGCGATGTAGCTGTGGTTCTTGTTCCTAACTACTCTCTCTCTCTCATGGAAAATGGAGGCTGAGTGAGTTGGACCGTCTAAGCAGCAAGCAGGAGATTTGTGGTCAAAAGCAGATGGACAAAACCACGCCCTGCCCTCTGTCCACCTACTCAGGATGGGCAAGTTTCAGTAGCATGGTCTGCTG